TATGGTATCATATCAAACATATTAGCAGTAGTTAAAAAAAAAATCATAGTTTATTTTCTCCTCATTATTGTGATATTCCACATTTTCTTTCTTTCTTTTTTTTTTTTGAGACCGAGTCTTGCTCTGTCACCAGGTGCCAGGCTGGAGTACAGTGGCTCAATCTTGCCTCACTGCAATCTCCCCTTCCTGGGTTCAAGCAATTCTCCTGCCTCAGCCTCCCTAGTAGCTGGGACTACAGGCAGACGCCACCACGCCCAACTAATTTTTTTATTTTTTTAGTAGAGATGGGTTTTCACCATGTTGGCCAGGATCATCTTGATCTCTTGACCTCATGATCCGCCCAACTCGGCCTCCCAAAGTGCTGGGATTACAGACGTGAGCCACTGTGCCCAGCCCCACATTTTCTTTTAAAAATCTTCCAGTCTTGGCTGGGATTGGTGGCTCATGCCTGTAATCCCAGCACTGTAGGAGTCCGAAGCGGGTGGATCATTTGAGGTCAGGAGCTCGAGACCAGCCTGAGCAACACGGAGAAACCCCGTCTCTATTTAAAAAAAAAAAAAAAAACTCTTCCAGTCTTAAATGTTTAATTTAAACAAAGATTGTGGCCAGGCACACCTGTAATCCCAGCACTTTGGGAGGCCAAGGCAGGTAGATCACAAGGTCAAAAGATCAAGACCATCCTGGCCAACACGGTAAAATTAGCTGGTGTGGTGATGCGTGCCTGTAGTCCCAGCTACTCAGGAAGCTAAGGCAGGAGAATTGCTTGAACCTGAGAGAGGCAGAGGTTGCAGTGAGCTGAAATCACGCCACTGCACTCCAGTCTGGCAACAGAACCAGACTCTGTCTCAAAAAAACAAAAAAGATTGTATCAGATCAGCATTCAGCTCTTATTTAACCAGTTCTTTCATTTGATACATCATATGATCTCTTAACTCATGGTTTTAAAATCATTTAAATTTTAAATCCATTGTTTATATTTATCTATCTTTCCAATTTGTTTATATTCTTATTTTTCCTGTTTTATCTATGATTTTTCTAACATCTTATATCTCTTTATTTCTAGAATGATGATACTTTCATTTAGTGTCATTTCTATCTTAGTTTTTCATTTGCCAAAATGAATGGTTTTCATTGTAGAATGTATACGAAATGGTGTCTTTTCTCTGCAGCTGAATTGTTTTCCCAGGCACTACAAAGAGGAACTCTAGCCTTCAAATTTGAACTTACTAATGCCAAACCATTTTACTTAAATGTATATACATATATACAAGAATAGAATTGAAAAGTAAAAATCTGTGGTGTATACTTTTGTCTAGGATTTTTTTTAATACAAGTTACTTTGAATATAATTGTAACAGCATAATTTTTATTTATTTTATTAAGAGTATCACATATTAATTATGGGGTTACCAGAAACATCATTTAATGGCCATGTATTATAATATTAATTAGACAGGACCCTTTTCCCATTGTCAGGCAATCATCACATTAAATTTAAAAAGTGACTGCCAGAAAGACTAGCACTGTTTTGATAGGAAAGTTAAATGTCAACTCTGTAATAGTAGACATTTTGAATTTACTTGCAAAGTTTAATAATACCCAAGTGTAGGTTTTCTAACCTTGTTTCCAAAAAAGAAAAAAAAAAATTTAAATTTGGAAAATGTACATTCTATTAAAAAAATTAACAAATTATATCACACCAATTACTTAAATTCCCCTCACTCTGAGCTGAGTTTTTAATTATTATTAATAGATGAAAATCTAGACTATCAATGTAAAACATCCATACATAAATATTACTAGACAATACTTGATATTATATGCCATTGTGAGTTAGTACAGCACAGTAGTTAAGAGCCTAGGCTAAAGTCAGACTACTTGGTTCTACAATTTACTGGCTTGTCACTCTGGGTCCCTATGCCTTCATTTGCTCATCTCTAAAGTGGGATAATCATCACCATCTCAAAGGGTAGTTAGGAGAATTCACTGATTTCTTGTTTGTTTCACTCTGTCTTGTTTGTCTCACTCTGTCACCCAGGCTGGAGTGCAGTGGCGTGATCTCGGCTCACCACAACCTCTGCCTCCCAGGTTCAAGGGATTCTTCTGCTTCACCCTCTTGAGTAGCTGGGATTACAGGTGTGTTTTTTTTTGTTGTATTTTTAGTAGAGATGGGGTTCTACCATGTTTGCCAGACTGGTCTCAAACTCCCGACCTCAAGTGATCTGCCCCGCTAGGAGTTCTTATTTGTAAAGTTCTTGGCACATAGTAAGCAATCTATAAATATTATTTAGTTGTTTAAAATTGTTTAACTTTAGCTAATATTTATTGAGCACTTACTACACTCTAAATTAAATGCTTTATATGAATTTGCCTCAAGTCATCTTCACAACTACCTAGGATAAGACACTATTATTGCGCCCATTTAAAGATGAGAAAATTGAAGCAAAAAATATTAAGTTATTAGGCCAAGGCCATACAAGTAAATGTCAAGAGCAACAATTTGAACTCAAATCTAGCAGCATGGCCTACAATTTTAACAAAGGTTATAGAATACACTATACACTAGAAGCAGTAGCCTCCTTCAGTACTCTATCTTAAAAAGAGGACAGGAGAGGGCTGGGCATGGTGGCTCACACCTGTAATCCCAGCACTTCGGGAGGCCGAGGCAAGTGGATCACAAGGTCAAGAGACCACCCTGGCCAACATGGTGAAACCCTGTCTCTACTAAAAACACAGAAAAATATTAACTGGGCGTGGTGGTGTGTACCTGTAGTCCCAGCTACTCAGGAGGATGAGGCAGGAGAATTGCTTAAACCCAGGAGGCGGAGGTCACAGTGAGCCGAGATCGCACCACTGCGCTCCAGCCTGGTGCCTGGCGACAGTAAGATTCTGTCTCAAAAAAAAAAAAAAGAGGACAGGAGAGTCACAAGAGACTTTGCTGAAATAAACTAGAATATTCCCAGAAATAGTTTACAAACTATAAAATAGAGTAATTAAAAATTAATTTAAGAAATAAGTCAATATAATACAGAAATACTTATGTATGAAGTTATATGATATTTGATATTTGTTTTAAAATAATCCAGTTTGGGAGAGAAGGGATAAAAGAAACAAGATTAGATTGACAATGTCTAAACTGTGGTGATGGCTATATGGGGGTTCATTATTTTTTTTCTCTCTACTTTTATATAGTCTTTAAAATGTCAATAATAAAAAAGAAATAGCAACAAGGTGGCACAGATTAGACACTTTATTATAGAAGCAAACAACTTTTTTAAGACACCCTGTCTTAAAAATTTTTAAGAGACATGACATAATTGATACTCATACATTTTTATTGTTTCTAAAAGGGTAGCCATACTTTAAATAATTGAGAATCTTCTTAACTAAAATGAAAAACTAACAAAAGTATTTAGGCATAAACATGTAAATATATATAGTAAATGGCTGTCTGTAGTTCCATCAACTCACTAAAAATATTTGCTTAAATAATTAACACTTTTTTTTTTCAAGTCTTTCTCCTCCCTGATCATCTCCATGATTATGACAATCTATGGTCTGTTGCCCAGGAAATGGGATGGGTTTGTACAGACAAATATGTCTCTACAACATGGTCACAAATTGAATATGAATAAAAACCAGAAATCTGCTTCACTAAGAAACACTGCTAAAAATTTCTCACTTCAAATTGTAGTTTTAAAAATATTTGATTTTCATACTAATACATATCTATGGGCTTCTGATAAGTACAAATAGAACCAATTATTAATTTGAAAACATTTTATATGCTCTAAATTATACTGTTAAAACAATTTAGCTGATACTAAAGGAAAAAAGCATTTATTAAGCTAGACGTTATACTAGGCACTTTAATACATATTGGCTCACCAAATTTAAGAGACAACAACTACATTTTAACAGGAAGAATATTAAAGTTTAGAGAGGTAAAACCACTTGCCCAAAGTCACAGAACTAATAAGTAGCTAAACTGATATTCAAATTTAAGCTCAACTACAAAAACCCACATTCCACCCACTATCCTAGACTACCTCTCAGGGAGGCAAAAATCTTCTCAAGTCAAACTTAAATATTTAGGGCCTTTTTAAAGCAGACAGTAAAATGTTTGTTACTGGTTACATGCATATTTCACTGTGGCAGCTTGGCTCTGGATAAAAAGCACTAACCAAAACACAGAAAGTATTATTTCTTCTACTGTGGGACTTTTTTTTTTTTTTTGGTTTCTTAATTTCAGCCTCAGTTTCTCTTCTCTACAATTGGAAAATTAGTATCTTTGCTGTCCAATTCGAGAATTACAAAGATTTAAAGATGACATATTGTGAAATCACTTCAAACCTACAAAAATAACAGAGAATATTTTATGTCTTAAAATGTTAAAACACACACACAAAAGCCAAAAGTTTTCTAAGTGTAAGCTGTTTAATCTACAGATTCTATCCACATTTCCAGAACTTTTTAAAACTCTTTCTTCTAAGCATAGCTCAATCATCATCGCTATTACTTGGTTTTCCTTACCCTTAAGTATAATGCAATAGTAATGGCATCAATGCTTTTGTAATAAATAATTAACATACCATTTTGAAAAGCTCACCATATAAATGTTCTAAATTCTGAAATTTCAAACTAACTATGTGTTTAGTGTCACTCTATATTCATGTTAATCTTTGGGTCTTTTCACATTCTATTTTGTGTATAAAAAGCTAAAATGAAGATTTGGAATTCTAAAGTAGAACACCCAACACACAATTTAAAATGATTTTTTTTCAATGATTCTCAAAGCAGATATAACAGCCAACAAGCACATCACACGCAGCAACAAAATTCACTGAAACATTCAGCTGCTCTAAAAGAAGGATCAGACTGTTCAGGAGAAAACTATATTGTGTGAGTTTGCAAAGTTTCATACTTTCCCGTTTAAACTCCATTTCAGAGAAAGCCTTCGCATACTAACACAATATGCTTTAAAGTGATACTCTGCTGACCTTCCAATAGTCCAGCTCTATTAAAATTCTGTGTTGGGTGTAACTTCAGAGAATCTGAAAAACACAAAAAGCATTAGGTACTTTTTATGCTGAATGAGGAAAAAATGCCAAGGACAGCATACATCTCTTATATAACAGCAATGTATTATTATTATTATTATTATTTGAGATGGAGTTTTGCTCTTGTTGCCCTTGGCCGGAGTGCAAAGGCGCGATCTCAGCTCATCGCAACCTCCGCCTTCCGGCTTCAAGCAATTCTCCCGCCTCAGTCTCCTGAGTAGCTAGGATTACAGGCATGCGCCACCACGCCCAGCTAATTTCGTATTTTTAGTAGAGACTGGGTTTCTCCATGTTGGTTAGGCTGGTCTCGAACTCCCGACCTCACGTGATCCACCCACCTCGGCCTCCCAAAGTGCTGGGATTACAGGCGTAAGCCACCATGCCTGGCCAACTGCAATGTATTTTTAAGAGCTAAAGCCCATATTTGTGAATACATTCCCCGCAGAAGAGGCTAAATTGCCTCTACTCTGGTCTAAGCTAAACCTAGATTTTCATAAAGTATATGTTTCATGGAAAATTATCTGGTGACTACTGCCCAAATGGTGTTAACGTCTTGACTATTTTTAGCACTCAATTCTAACACATTAGCCCTGCTCTAAGAATCATCTCTTGATATGTCTCTTTCTTTTGACATTCAAAACTACAATATTTCTAAACTACTTCAAGTAATGCTGCCCGAAAAACATCCTACAGTATAGTGGCTGCCAATTAAAGTCACTGGAGCAACAGACAGTGGCTACAGTTAAAGTAGGACTCTGTGTACAAAATCAATGGTCAGTCCGTAAAGTCCAGTACCTTTCAGAGCAAACCATCGCACTCTGATTCACTTAAACAATTTAGAGACGCTACTATGAAGGTGAAGTCCCCTTTTTTGGAGGGGATGGAATAAGCAAACGGATACATCAAACCAAAAGCAGAATTTCTCAGGAAGGGGGTTCACAATGGCACATTTTTTTTTCATACGGTGAAATGAATAGTTAACCACCCAGTTAAGTTTTTTGACCCCTCCCGGTGGTTTAAAAGCGGTAAAGAGCGCAGCGGGAGTATTTTGGTTTTGATGCCCCTTGCACAGGAAACCTGTTCTGACACATTCTTGTGGTGTCCAGTATAGGAATTTCACCTGAGTAGAGCTCAGCTCCAGTGCTATTATTTCAGATGGTGGGAATCCCCTTCAGGCCTTAGCCAAAAGAATTCTTAAATGAAAAATCTCTGTCCTGAGCCCCCTCCCAGCAACCAGCCCTTGAACGGAAAAGCAGAGAAAATTCTCAAAGGACAGCGTCTGTGCCTGAGCTGGTCCTCATGGGAGAGGAGAGGAATAAAACCAATCCAGAGAGGGCACCCCCATCTTTGTAAAAGAGAAAGGAGAAGTAATTAGAATGCCACGGAGGTGGGAAGAGAAAAAAAAAGAAAATTCGGGCCCTTTCCAGCAAGAAGATGACGAGGAAAGGAAGAACGCCTGGTAGAGGGGGGCTGTCCCAACATGGGGAGGGAGTGGATTAGGCCTGAGGGAGAGGGGGTGGAACCACGGCGCACAAACAAGCTGGAAGGGGAGGAAAATGGTGACCCTGCACCCAGAACCTGCTCCAGGCCACGACGCCCGCTTAGGGGCAACTTTGCTGGGGAGGAGGGTCCGGGTAAGAGAAGACGCGTTTCCCGGATCGCGACGGTCCCAGCGCGGGGCCCAGTCTGGGACCATCCCTGAGCCCAGGAGGCCGAAGCCGGCGGCTCGCGGAGCGTGGCGGGGCCAGACGGGCAGAAAACTGCTAGGAGCGACCGGTGCCGCAGAGCCCTGGGGGCCGACGGAATCCGGGCCCGGAGCTGCCCGCGGCTCCGCGGGGGAGGGGCCGCCACTGCTCTGCACGCCCCCTCCACCGTCCCCCAGACCCCTTCGGCCTCTGCCCGCTCTGGCCAGAGAAGCCCTCGGGGTCGCGGCTCGGCCGTCCCCAGCCCCGACGGGGACCCTCCGTCTCCCCCGGCCCGGTCTCCCCGCCCCCACACCCCACCCCACCCCCGCCTGACTCACCTCGCGAGTACAGGGACTTGGGCGATTCCAGGTCTAGGTCCGCGCTGAGCAATGAGATGAAGTCCGAGGGCATCGCAGCTCGACCCAGCCCGGCCCGGGGGCAGCGGGAGGGGGGGAGCGGCGGTGGCGGCGGCACCTCCTCTCCGGGACCGCGGGCACCGAACCGGGGGCGGCGAGGCGAGGGCGGCTGCCACTGCCTCCTCCTCGAGGGTAGTGACTTTCACCGGGCCAAGGACCGAGGAAAAGGAGGCGAGGTGGACGGGGAACTCCACGGGGACTGATATTCCGCGGCCAGGAGAGGGGTTCAGGGCGGGGAAGGGGAAAGGGGAGAGCCAAAGGGTCCGTTCCGTGCTTCTCCTCAGCGAAAACTGACGGTCGCCGCCACCGCCGCCGCCGCTGACAGGAATCTGAGCCCCGCCCCCCGCGGGGCACTGCGCAGGCGCAGATGAGGGGGGCGCCCAGGAGCGCGGAAGAGCCGCGGCGGCCCCGGAGGGCGGGGAGGCGCGCCAGGGAACAGCAGCAACAAGCGCCTCGCTTCCTGCCGCGGCGGCCCGAGCTGCTGTTCCCGACCCGGGAAAGGGCCCCGCCGCCAGGGAGGGAAGGGAGGCTGGGAGGTGGCCGCGCGCTGGGGCCCCGGGGAGGGAAAAGGTATTTGCACCGGTCTGGTGGCGGCGCGCCGACCCCGCGCGGAGCTGAGGGCACTAGACAGAGCAGAGGAAAGCGAGGTGTCTGCCCGAGCCGGGGACGGACCCCAGAGGCGGGCAGCGGGCGGTGGCCCGGCCTGCCTGGCCCTGGTCTCGCAAGGGACTGAAGTGTCATCGCTTGGACAGCCACCAACCCTTTGAAGTTTTCATAGCAGTGTCTACAAAGGGACTGTCGAACCCATTTCTTAATTAGGAAATGGCAAACCGTATCCCAAAAACCTCAAGTTACTGTTTTTAATTAAAGTACTTTCTCTCCCAACACGCCTCCCACCTTTAGAGGCTGAAATTATTAAAATAAGTAAACTATCTTTCTGATTGTGCTGGGGCATCCGGGTTATTCGGAGTGGGACACAGAAGACACTTTAAAAATTGGATCATGTGAATCCACCTGGCTGTTCTAGAGGAAAAAAAAAAAAGCAAACCTAAACGCTACTCTTCCAGTTTTCTTTCTTTCTCTCTTTTCTTTAACTTTTGAACTAGGCAACGATGGAGGAAGAACGCATTTAATTGAGTTTTTGCTCTTGCTTTTCTGTTCGTGGAGCAAAAGTTTCCGTTGCAAACGCTTAAAATCCTCGCACCGCAGACCGTTTCCTGATTCTAATAGACTACTGAGAAAATTTTAATCAAGTTATTGAAATATCAGCTGGAGTGCAGGGTCTGCATCTTGGGAAGTAATTTAAATCTTGTGTGGAATATTGATGTCAGAAGCCACATGGGCAAGGTTTTTAAGCTAATCGAATTGTTTTATTTTATATACAAGGATAGTTACAAATCATGAAAATCAGTCTGATGTGTGTGTGTGTGTGTGTTTATAGATAGATAGATATAAATTATAGAGGCTTTTTCCCGTGAAATTGAGCAGTTCCTCAGGACTTGGAGTGCGAGGGTTGGGGTAAGAAGCTCTCAGCAAAGGAGGCCCCCAGTGCAGATGTCGCTGAGGCAGGGTCCTTTACAAAGTTTTACTTGCAGACCTACAGTTTAAACCTGTGTCATCAGAGCTCACCTGTCTTTCCATCTCAACATTTGATTCAGGTTGCCCAATTGTCTTCACTGAATTCTGTGTAGTAATCAACCCTGTGAACATTAGTCTCTCTTCAGAGGTTCAGAAAGCTTTTCAGAGCCACCCCAAGATGGCAAAGGAGAACAGGAAAACCACCTTCACATTTCCACCTCCACTGCATGCTGTTGTGACAAGTCCCAAGGGAAGTCCCTTCATAACTGATAAGAGCCCCACTCATTAGAGAGAGGAAGATTCAAACCTCACATTGCCCAACAGGCCAAGGCCTACTGAAATCCTATAGCTTTTGAATTGGACTAAACACACCTCTTGGAGACCTCCCCCATCTGTTAGTCAATACATAGGGTAGCGGAGAGGAAATGCAATTCACCACCCAATAGTACTAAGAAAGTTGAGTGAATCACTCTGAGCAGATCCCTTTTCCCCAGACCTATGTAATCACTTCACAAACTTAGGGTATAGGAAATCCCCAGTACTGCTCTGACCCTAATTAACTACTTGAGAACTGGCAAGGCCTCTTCCTTTTTATCTCAATACTTCTCTGCCCTTCTGTGACCTTTCTTCCCCCATTGAGGCTTAATTGTCTATGTTAATCAGATTTCCCTTGATTAGGTAAGAGCAAAGTGAAAAGGGGCCCACCAAAGTGTGGCTTGACCTCAGCTGTGAATTCCCAGAAGGATTCTGTGGCCTCAGGCCTCACCTCATTAGGTCCTGTATTAAACACGGATTATATCTAAATAGTTATTTGAAAAATCAGTGCCCATTCCCACTGCTTGCACCTGTCTTTTTACAGAGATAGGTTCTTTTTTTTTTTTTTTTGAGACAGAGTTTCACTCTTGTTGCCCAGGCTGGAGTGCAATGGCACAATCTCGGCTCACTGCAACCTCCACCTCCTGGGTTCAAGTGATTCTCCTGCTTCAGCCTCCTGGGTACCTGGGATTACAGGTGCCCACCACCACCACCCCCGGCTAATTTTTTTGTATTTTTAGTAGAGATGGGGTTTCACAATGTTGGTCAGGCTGGTCTCAAACTCCTGACCTGAGGTGATCCACCTGCCTTGGCCTCCCAAAGTTCTGGGATTACAGGCATGAGCCACCGCATCTGCCCTATATTCTTTTTTTTTTCTTTTCTTTCTTCTTTTTTTTTTCCTTCTGAGACACGGTCTTGTTCTCTTGCCCAAGCTGGAGTGTAGTGGCAGGGTCGTAGCTCAGTGCAGCTGCAGACTGAAACTCCCAGGTTCAAAGTAATCCTTCCACTTCAGCTTTCCAAATATCTGGGACTACAGGCATGTGCCATCACACTTGGCTAATTCATTCTATTATTATTGATTGATTGATTGATTGATTTTGTAGATACATGGTCTTGCTGTATTACCCAGGCTGGTCCTGAACTCCTTTTTTGCAGAGACATGGTTTTGGTATATCGCCTAGGCTGGTCTTGGACTCCTGGCTTCAAACGATCCTCTTGCCTCGGCTTCCCAAAATGCTGAGATTAGAGGCATGAGCCATTGAGCCTGGCCCAAGAGACATTATTTGAAAAACTGCTTAGGTGGCTAGTTTTCTTGGCCATACTTTGCAACAGCATAGAGACCTAGATTTTCATTTTGTCTTTCAAATTTCAGTGACTGAAAACACAAATAAATTCGTTAGTAAACAGTGTTTGCTCTGCTGTCATCACAAAATAAAATGCGACCTGCATGATATTCAAGATTATCAAAAATAACTATCTGATCACTGTGTCATTAGTAAATTATATGCCTAGATCCAATCATATTTCCCTCTGTGGTCATTTAGGTCTAGGTCTCAGTTGCATCCCCTTTTCTTTGATATTTGAAATAGTCTAATGATGTATTTTTTAAACTACCCCTTTATCTATACATCTTTCTAAAACTTCCTCTGGGCCGGGCGTGGTGGCTCATGCCTGTAATCCAAGCACTTTGGAGGCCAAGGCGGGCGGATCACCTGAGGTTGGGAGTTCAAGACCAGCCTGACCAACATGGTGAAACCCTGTCTTTAAAAAAAAAAAACAAAAAAAAAAAACGCCGGGCGCAGTGGCTCAAGCCTGTAATCCCAGCACTTTGGGAGGCCGAGGCGGGTGGATCACGAGGTCGAGAGATCGAGACCAACCTGGTCAACATGGTGAAACCCCGTCTGTACTAAAAATACAAAAAATTAGCTGGGCATGGTGGCGCGTGCCTGTAATCCCAGCTACTCAGGAGGCTGAGGCAGGAGAATTGCCTGAACCCAGGAGGCGGAGGTTGCGGTGAGCCAAGATCGCGCCATTGCACTCCAGCCTGGGTAACAAGAGTGAAACTCCGTCTCAAAAAAAAAAAAAAAGACAAAACCTAAAAAAAAAAAAAAACTAAAAACTTCTTCAGACTGGGCATGGTGACTTGAGCCTATAACCCCAGCACTTTGGGAGGCTGAAACAGGCAGATCACTTGAGGTCAGGAGTTCGAGACCAGCCTGGCCAACATGGTAAAACCCTGTCTCTACTAAAAATAAATAAATAAATAAATTAATTAATTAATTAACCAGGCATGGTGGTTCGCACCTATAGTCCCATCTACTTGGGAGGCTGAGGCAGGAGAATTGCTTGAACCTGGGAGGTGGAGGTTGCAGTAAGCCAACATCACACCACTGCACTCTAGCCTGGGCAACAAGAGTGAGATGCCATCTCAAAATAAGTAAGTAAATAAAACTTCTTCTGTTCACAACAAAAAGTAAAACTTTAAGCATGCAAAATTTAGAAATGTCCTCTTATTGAAAATTATAATGGGACCACGAGCAAAACATAGAGCAGATTTAAGAGTTTGTAGAATTCCTTTCTATTACTTCCTAATCATATATCACCTTCCCCAGTCACTTGATTAAAATTTCACAAGAACCCAGATTCAACTACAAGACTGTAGATTATGCAATAGAATGGCACTTTTTATATTGGTGGTGTGTACTTTAACCCCTCCTGGACTTGTTTAGGCACTTTGTGAATTGTGTAGCTGGAATGACTATAAATGAAAGAGGTTCAAATATCAGCCACTGAAAAGGAATTAAATAAACTCATACAGAACAGAGGAATGTGCTGTCACAAGATCTACAAATCTTTGTCATTATAATACAATTAAAGCTGTTAAAATAATTTTAGTCACACATATATTGTAAAGAACCTGCTAAACAAACACAAAATCTGAAAGGAAAATTTGCAGAACAATTCAAGACAAAAACAAAAAAAAGAGTTTAGACCACAGTTATTTTTGCCCCACCATGGGAGCACTCCTTAATAATAATGGAGAATTAATAGTGGTGGGAAAGAGTAGTGACTGCATTTGTGCTGGAATTGTAATCAAATTCTGAATATGTTTAGGTGTCAATTTCTACCCATATAACATGATCTAGGAAATATTTATTTTTTCTTTTAACATTTAATTTAATTTAATTAATTTTTTTTTTTTTTGAGATGCTCTTGTTGCCCAGGCCAGAGTGCAATGTCATGATCTCAGCTCACTGCAACCTCTGCCTCTCAGATTCAAGAGATTCTCCTGCTTCAGCCTCCCGAGTAGCTGGGATTACAGGCACCTGCCACCATGCCCAGCTAATTTTTTTGTATTTTTTTAGTAGAGACGGAGTTTCACCATGTTGGTCAGGCTAGTCTCGAACTCCTGACCTCAGGTGATCCACCTGCCTCGGC